TAGTCGATCAATTAGTTCCCTGTTTTGCAAACAGCAGTCACTGACATGTGACTTATACTGGTTCTCAACAAAATAATCAATTTTCGTGCCCCGTCAGTTCTGCTGCTCATCTAGATTGTCTTAGCTTTCACTGAGGTACAACTCTTACAAATTCATTTCTCTAAAATACATTTCAAAAACTAAAAAGGAAATGGAAAATTTTGCACAGAAGTTTTAATCAAAGCCATAACCTATTAGTATTCGCTCTTCGGACAGAAGGAGCACTCTAAAGTAATTCGAAAATAACCGAAGGAAGTAAGAGCCAACAGCAATCACTCATTGGTGCATCTGTCGATGATTCCCTCTTTCGAAGGTTGCTTACAAGCAGCAGGTTTGACTCCCATGCACGCGCCAATGTCGATTTACCTTCAGAACGAATGAAAGTGTCGGAAAGGGAATGATTATCCCACTGGGGGATAATCATTCAGTTCTCACTGCGCCAGTGCATATTTGAGTTCATCAAATTTGGGGCTAACACGAAATTTTAAAGACTAAATTGGGCTTGTTGCAGTTTTTCTTCAAGAGGCACTGTGTTGCCGCATATTTTATGCAAGACGATGATTCTAAATACGTGCTTTTCGTGGACTCCGATATGGGTGTAATTAATCCGAAAAGACGCATTGAGGAATTTATTGTCAAGGATAAGGATATTGTTTTCTGCAATCGTTTGTGGAATGTTGAAATCATGGCTGGAAGCTACTTGGCCAAGTAAGCTCTTGCATTTTTCGAGACAAATGTCTATGAAACTGTTCTTAGATTATTTGACTCTTCTTTGATAATTTACATCATCGACCACATGGGCTTAACTATTTACGATTTGGAAAGAGTATCTATTGCAATGTGCTCTTTGGAGAAAAATTGTCAAAAGCAAATGTTTTTTGACGAGTCAAATCGTCATCAAAATGATTTTGCTTGTCAGCAGGCCTCAAACGAGGAAACCGTCAAAAATCAACCCGATGACTGATCACTACTGGCGCTTGTAACTAACTAGTCTATTTCCGGAGTGCCTGGGGGTCTAACTGAAAGTGATTGCAGAGGGGATTTTACTTCCGATACCCTGATAAAAATATCAGCATATATTAGGATTTCTGGCAGTACTGGTCCGGATGTATGTCTTACTTTTCGACCCATTAGTACTGCCAGGTGGTTGCTTTATCAAATTCATCACTGCTTGACTACTGAGTAACCGGGTCTGTAAAATTGAATTTTCCAACCACACGACCGCTATTTAAACCAAGAATAATATAGACAGTCGTGGTATGACTTTACATTAGCAGAAGTCAACCCCTCCTTCCTCTCTTTTCTGCTCATACTCATTCTCTTTGAGTTGCAAGTGCACTCGGAAGTATTCCGGAGGTAAAAAATACCAGTAGCAATTCATTTGCTGGCAATGGCTGTTGATTAATCATTTTTTCGAGGGTTGCTTAAAAGCAAGCTGGTGGCAAGTTTTATCATTAAAAATTTGAAAAAGTCTGGCGCTTACCCGTGCTACTACGTTCATTTTTAGCAGATTATGTCTATTTTCGATAGATAAAGCAATGAATTTTTGAGCGGAGCAAAAGCGGCTCAAAAATTCACTGAAAAAACTTTTTATGCGTTTTTTGCATCTATGCAATGCAGAAAACGCATGCTTAACGAGGGACTGTCGTTGTATGTGTGTGTATGTCTGTGCGTGCATCTGCATCGGTTGTTCATCTCAAGATCTATAAAAGCTACAGGGCTGAAGCTTTAGAAACTTAATCTACATCCACATACGTGCCCCAGTCCGCAAAATGGGCGTTCTTACTCGCGTGGTACCCACGTACAGGCCCGCCAAAGTTTTTTACGGGCAAGCTGTTGACTTGGGAACCAGAAACGCTAGAAAGCTGAAATTTTAAGAAAACTTTCCTCGTCCACGCAGGTATTAATGAGCTCAAACCCAGCCCCTGGGTATGCGTGGGAAGCACACACAGGCCTGCCAAATTTTTTTTGGATAAGTTGCTAACTCGGAAACCTGAGAAGCTAGAAGGCCGTAATTTTAAGGGGATGTTCCTCGTAGGTCCCAGTGATTTCATAGCCAGCTTTCGGGTATGCGTGGTTTCCATACAATGGCTCATGAAAGTTTTTTGCGGGTAAACTGCTAACTCGGAAACCACGAAAGCTAGAGAACTGAAATTTTAAAGGGATGTTTTCTGACTGTGCTGGCGGCTAGTCCCAATTCTTTTAGCTAGAAGCACCTGCCAGAAAAACGGGTGCCGGTAGCAACAAAAACTACGGGGAACTACGCAAAAAACGCATCTCCGCACTGGCAGCCGGTGCGTTGGCCAATTATTTAACATTACAACTATTTTTGCACAGACCAAAATGCAAAGCAGTGAAAATCATCCACAGCCAATCGTTCTGTGAGCGGAATTGCACAAAACGCATCACTGCCCTAGGGTGCCGATATTTATTTATTTTTTTTTTTTTTTTTTTTTTT